CCCCTTCCAGCCTGCTGGCACTCCCAGGCTGTCGGGTACGAGGTCCGTGTCCCTCTCTTGCGGAGGGAGAATGTGTGTCCCAGACGCAGGCTGAAGGGAGGTTTGTGTATCTGTTTGCCTCCCTGAATCATTACCTGAGGGTGGAGGGGGAACGTTGCTTCCTGCTCACCACAGCCCATTGTTTTCAAGGTCCCAGATCACCTCTGTGCCCATTTGAATGAGGGCTGTGAGCTGAAAACAGCCTATCGAGAGGCCAAAGTCTAGGGCACTGATCAGCAACTGGCATTTAAAGGAGACGTGGAGATAGAATGACGTGGGCCCCCCACCAACCCTGGGCACCCCCAGACTCCCCAGCTCTCTTGTAGGCACACGCTGCAGATGCTGATTTTCCACGTCCCTGGCACAGTCCTTTTCCCCGGGGGCCCCCAAAAGCCAATATTCTGCAGCTATTGGGACCCCCAGAAGATGACGGGTGCACTCGCCTTTTAGATGAACGTCTGTTCTCCGACAGGCTCAGCTCTGATTTCAATCTTTGCTGCAGTTTTTCTTAGGGGACTTAAGCACCGTTGACAAGACCTGGGGATAATATTTTGTACACTTTTTGTGGGGGGAAGGAGGCTGAATTTCAGCCAATAGGCCAGAGCTTGCAGGGACCTGCCAGGAGAATTCTGAACATAAGAGCAGCCATTCTAGGTCAGAGCATGTAGCCCAGAGCCCGGTCTTCCGACTGTCATGGGGTGTCCACCCATGCAGGATTGGTAGCCAGGTAGGTCTGTTACCTGCACAGCCTGCCCCTGATAGGAGAGCCTGGGGGGTAACTACAGAGGGGCCCTGTTAAGTGTCCCTGCATGACGTGGAAACCTCTGGGAAGAAGGTGCCAAGGGATGGGAATGGCTGACACGGGGCAGGAGAGGGAGGGGCTCTGGGCTTAGCTATGTCAGAGGCAGGGAAGATGATACCTGCCCCTCCCACCAGGAGCCATGTGGAGGGGGGGAGTCTGTGATGGGGCGTCCAGCCAACACCGGCTGGGGGGGGGG